ACTGTGAGCAAGGCAGCAAAACTCTAGCTACATATACCCCAGTACAAAAATGAAAATATTAACAGTTAAGACACTGTACCACCACAGAACAAAGTAACTCTATTCCAGTAGGCTATGAGAAACGCAATATAGCAGAAGGACAAGACAAAGACTTCAAAAATAGCAATTGTGGATATGTTCAAGAACCTTAAAGAGAATATGAATAAATCCCTTAATAAAGACTGTGAAAGCACACAAGAAAAGGTTGAATGAAATTATGAAAACAATTTAAGACATGTAGCAGAATTTAACAAAGAAATAGAATCACTAAAGAAAACCCCAATTGTAATAAAACTGGGAATGAAAAATTTAAGATGTCACATAAAACCTTCAGAGGTAAGCCTCACCAACAAACAGGACCAGAAAAGAATTTACTCTGACACATAATAATCAAGACATTAAATGTACAGAATAGTGAAAGGATATTAAAAACTGCAAGGTAAAAAGACCAAGTAACATAGAAGGGCAGGCCCATTAGAATAACACTAAGTTCTCAACAGAGACTCTTTAAGCCAGAAGGGCCTGGATGGTTGTTCTACAAACTCTAAAGGACCACAGATGACTATACCCAGTGAAACTATCATTCACAACCAAAAAGGAAAGCCTAATCTTTTTGTAAAACCACTATTACCTGGGTAGCTAAACGACACAAAGACCCAACAAAAAAAGGAATTTATAGACCAATATCCTTTATGAACATAGATGCGAAAATTCTCAATAAACTACTTGCAAACTAAATAAAAAAAAATAAAAAAGATTATCCACCATGATGAAGTTGGCTTCATCCCAGGGATGCAGGGATGGTTCAAGCGATATTAGTTGATAAATATAATCTACTGAATATATAGACTAATACACAAAAACCCACATGATCATCTCATTAGATGCATAAAAAGCCTCTGAAAAATTCAACATCCCTCCGTGATAAAAGTCCAAGAGACACTACAAATACAAGGGACATTCCTCAACATACCAAAGGCAACTTAAAGCAAGTCCACAGCCAATTTCAACCTAAGCTGGAGAAACTCAAAGCATTGCCACTAAAATTAGGAACAAGACAAGAATGTCCATGCTCTCCATAACTACTCAATATAGTACCTGAAGTCTTAGCTAAAGCAATAGGACAACTGGAGGCAATCAAGGAAATACAAATAGGAAGTGAAGAAGTCAAAGTATCCTTATCTTCAGATGATATGATTGAAAGTATACATAAGTGACCCTAAAAATCCCACCAGGAAACTTCTACAGCTGATATACAATATTTCAGCAAAATATCAGAAAACAAAATCAACAAACAAAAATTAGTAGTTTTCTTATATAAAAATGACAAACAGGCTGAGAAAAAAAAAAGCAAGGAAACAGTAACTTTCACAATAGCCTAAAAAAAGAAAATCTTGGAATATCTCTAATCAAACACATAAAAGACTTGTATAATAAAAACTCTAAGACATTTAAGAAAGAAATTGAAGAAAACATCACATAATAAAAAGATAGCCCATGCTCATGGATGAGTAGAACGAATATTGTGAAAACGACCATCCTACCAAAGCAAGTACAGATTCAACATCATCCTCCTCAAAATACAACACAATTCTTCACAGAAATTTAAAAAAAAATTTTTTTAGCTTCATATGGAAAAAACAAAATACCTAGGCTGGCTAAAACCATCAAAACACTAAAAGAACTGCTAGAGGTATCACCATCCCTGGTTTCAGGGTGTACTGTAGAACTGTAGTAATTAAAACAATGTGGTGTCGGCCTTAAAAACAGACATGTTGATGAATGGAATTGAAGACCTGACACTAGTCGGTATACCTATGAACATCTACTTTTTGAAAGAGAATCTAGAAATACACATTGGACAAAAGACAGCGTTTTCAACAAATAGTGCTAGTCAAACTGGATGGCTGCATGGAGAAGAATGCAAATTGATCTGAATTTACCACCCTGCACAGAACTCAACTTTAAATGGATCAAGGACCTCAACATAAAGCCAGATACTCTGAATCTGATAGGTGAGATAGTAGGAAATAGCCTTGAACTCAGTAACATAGGAAATGCTTTTCTCAACAGAACACTTTTAACACAGCACTAAGAACAAGGATTAATAAATGGGCTCTCATGATGCTGAAAACTTTCTGTATGGCAAAGGACACCATCATTTGGACAAAGTGGCACACATAATAGGAAAAGATCTTTACCAATTATACATCTGATAGAGGCTTAATATCTAAAGTATCTAAAGAATTAAAAAAAAAACACCAAGGAAACAAATAACTCAATTTAAAACTGGGGTACAGAACTAAACAGTGTTCTCAAAAGACAGAACTCAAGTGACTGAGAGGCACTTAAACAAATGTTCAAACTCCTTAGCCATCAGGGAAATGCAAATCAAAATTACTTTGAGCTTCTTACACCAGTCAGAATGGCCAAGATCAATAAAACAAGTAACAGCTCATGCTGGCTGGGATGTTGGCAAGGGGAACACTTACCCATTGCTGGTGGGAGTGCACACTCGTACAGCTATTATGGAAATCAGTGTGGCAGCTTCTCAGGAAACTGGGAATAGTTCTACCTCAAGATCCAGTAGTACCAGTCTTGGGCATACACTCAAAGGACTCTATATCCTACTACTGAGACACTTGCTTGATTATGCTCACTGCTGTTCTATTCACAATAACCAAAAACTGGAAACAGCCTAGCTGTCCATAAACTGATGAATGGATAATGAAAATGTGGTACATTTACACAATGGGTTATTGTTCAGCTTTTAAAAAATAAAAATTATGAGATTCATAGGTAAGGGGATGGCATGGAGGGGGGTCGGGGGGAGAAACACCCTGAGTGAAGTAACCTGGACCCTCCAAAATAAATATTTTAAGCTTTCTTTTATATGTGGACATTAGCTTTTACGTCCTCAGTATGTGTGCTATTATCTGTATACTGACAGTAGTTAGGCATCGTGTAAAGGAATGTGTGGGAGGAAAGGTTCTCCTAAGGAGGGGAAATAGAATATCTCGTTATGGAGAGAGCAGCGAGACTGAGTGGGTGGTTTAAATGGGGAGGAGGTTGGAAGAGAGCGATGGGGTATGTGGGCTGGGGACAACTAACATTAAAGTGATTTGGGGACCCATATGGAAACCTGCTACTGAAAAAAAAAAAACTGTCTATATGTATGTGGTGGTTTGAACAAGAATGGCCTCCATAGGCTCATATATTTCAGTGCTTAGACATCAGTGCGTGGAACTGTTTTGGGATTAGGAGAGATGAGCTTGCTGGAGAAATTGTAGTCTTGTAGGAGGGAGGTGTGTAACTGGGGGTTGGCTTTGAGGTTTCAAAAGCCCTTCCCAGGTCCTATCTATCTATCTATCTATCTATCTATCTATCTATCTATCTATCTATCTATCTATCTATCT